TTTAGTATGTATGATTCGGTATTTGAAATTTATAGGCCTAGCACAACTGCTCATAATATATGTTAGCATCTCAGCAACATCACTGACATTGAGGCTCCACGTTGTCCTTGCAATTCTGAGAGTTTTTGAAAAAGTCTATTCGGTTACCAACAATTTTATACATATAGACTTGTAATGCTTGTGTATTCCTTTTGAAAGCTGCGACGAAGTTGAAACCATCGGTGGCACTTTTTTCATGAAATATGCATATCTGTTGCGCAATATAATACATCATTTTCGATAACTAGTTGTGACCAAAACCTGGGGGCATTAATCAACGATGCAGAACAAGACTGGGCTTAAGTCGTAGTTAGTGTAATGAAAAACTGGAATCGTTTTGCCCCGTTTAGCCCATGCCTCATCACTCCCCTCTTCCCAAATCCCATGCTTGATAACCGGGCCTTTTGCACAATTTGTGCTCTGGCCCGTTTCCTCTGGCTAAAAACAAACGGATATATATATTTTTTTGTTTTTTTATTTTTTTTTTCAGAAATATTAGGTTTTCACACCAATAGCAGGTATTCTCTTAAAAAGATCTTTCCGAAAATTCTTGAAAAAAAAAATGATAAAAATTTAGCTCGCTATGAATTTTAAGAAGGCAGACATAGCACAGTGGGAGGTAGCACTGTTATCGTACAACTAGATTGAGGGTTCAGTTCCGTCCCTGAAATAACTAATCTTCCCACGATTTGCTCATTCGTTTCGATGATAAGCTAGTACTGACACATGTAAATGGATAATTGCTGCTGAAATATGCCACCAGTTTGGGCTAATTCCTGAGGGCCACATCTCTCACAGATTGCTAATACGAAGGCGTTGACTGTCAATTTTAAAGCCTCTGGAAACCATATGTTGTTCCTATTCCAGAAAAATTTCAGTTTTATCTATCAGAGGTAAAACCCACGAAAATTTTTTGAAACAGGTTTTACTTGCTGACAGATAATATCATATAACTGCTGGCGTAAAAAAAAAAAACGAAGAAAAAACATGTTGTTTTCGTGTTTCGTTCGTTTCATGTTTTTACAACTTCTAGCTGTGATGCATTTGTTTTCCAGGGTACCTTGTTATGGTCAGATGTTCAGTGCTAATTACGCTGACAGCTCTGATGTCCCGAAAATTGCCTCTGGTTTGTAGCTTATCATCAACCGCCCAGTTGGAATCCATCTCACCCACGTCGATATCATTCTGGCTAACCGTTGAACCGGTAACCGTGGAATGGGTGAGCGGATGTTTGGCTGCTGCCGGATGTGCGGACTCGAGGCTGACGCTATCCCAGTGGAACTTAGTGAGCGACGAACGGATATCATCCAGCTGGTCAATACACGAGCATTTTGTGAGCAATTTTTTTTCGATACGGTTTGTCAAAGTTTTCAAAAATTTCCGCATTTTAAAACTAAAAGCGAAATGTGTTGTTTTTGGAAAAAATCACTAGAAAGCGACAGAATATTTCCGAGTTCTATAATTTAATAGCCAGGTTAATGTTAAAACATTTTTAAAATCGTTTACTGTAAGATGTGGGAGCGGCCTAAACCGTAGTAACCAAACGCAATCGAACAGAAGGCTGTGGATTTCGTTTTCAAGGAACTAAGTTGAC